TAGGTATATATATATATATATATATATACACACACACACACACACACACACACACACACACACACACACACATATATATTCATTCATTCATTCATTCATTCATTCATTCATTCAGGATAGTAGAAAAGAGAAATCTTTATTTAGGTGAAGTTTGCATTTCCCTTTCCCCCTCCCCTCCCTTCCTCTCTTTTATTTACAATTGTTATACAGTCATGGTTGAAAGGCTTGGGGATATGATGACATCATTGGTGCACTGCTTGAGCCAGTGTTAAGCTTTTCAGTCATAGGCACTAACTTTTGGGAAGCTTATTGTATCCACCTTTTTCCTCTCTTTTTCTGATTTTTTTTTAGAACAACAAAATTAGTGTTACTTTTGCTTATCACCAAAATTTAAAGTTTTCCACTCTTTTAGAAAAGGCTATCTCCAGATTTTACACGACAACTGCTCTCAGTATTTATCAAATGTTTTAGAAGAGGTATTCACAATCAGCCAACACTCCTGCCTAGTTAGGACGGTGGTTCCAATTCCACAGTATTATAAATTATCTGGTAAATATTTCAAATGTTTTTCTCAGTGCACTTCCTGATTTCTTTTCCAGAGAACAGAATCAATAAAATACAACAGCCACTCACTACCTTTTGAAAATTTCCAGATACCCATCACAATTGTTGTAAATATGAACCATTTTTTTGTAAACCTTACCATAAATGGTTGGGTGCCAGGAGATGCAGCTAACAGTTCTGTCCTTGAGATAATGCAGATCTGTAAAGGACTGATATTCCTTCATGGTAACATCAGATTTACCTGCAAAACCACTTTCCTCTTCCGCAAGAGCTTTCCAGTCATCGAAAAAAACATTCATGATTTCATTTTGTTGCAGTGCAATCTCAACTCTGTGCCAGGGGGAAAGAGAGAGAGGGAGGGAGAGGTAGAGGGAGGGAGAGGAAGAGAGGGGGGGATTAAAATACTTGAGAGATTATCTACATTAGGCACCAATGGGTTCTGAGGAAAATTTGCATGGTAGGCCTATCCTACCAAGCATGCGAGTACCTGCAAAAGCCCTCACTATTTTGGACTGCTGGTGTTATTGCCTGCAGTTGGTCAAGGTGTGTCCCCATCTGAGCAGACAACCTGGCGTTTCTCTTTCAATTATTCGCAATTCGCAATTTGCAATTTAATGAGTTTATATGCCGCCCAATCCCGGAGGACTCCGGGCGGCGTACAAATACGAAATAAAATAAAATAACACATAGGGGAAAGAACAAAAACAATTTAAAAAACACAACATACATTTGGCTTAGCTGGGGGTTGGACCTGATTTAAAAA